GATTATTCACCACGACCAAGTAGGCTTCATCCCAGGAATGCAGGGGTGGTTCAACATATGAAAATCAATAAACATAATAAACCACATTAACAGAAGCAAAGACAAAAACCACTTGATCATCTCAATAGATGCAGAAAAAGCCTTTGATAAGATCCAACACCATTTCATGATAAAAGCTCTAAGAAAACTAGGAATAGAAGGAAAGTACCTCAACATTATAAAAGCTATATATGACAAACCTACAGCCAGCATTATACTTAACGGAGAAAAACTGAAACCATTCCCTCTAAAATCAGGAACCAGACAAGGATGCCCACTATCTCCACTCCTATTCAACATAGTACTGGAATTCCTAGCCAGAGCAATTAGGCAAGAAGAAGGAATAAAAGGAATACAAATAGGTAAAGAAACTGTCAAAATATCCCTATTTGCAGATGACATGATCCTATACCGTAGCCTAGATAGCATAGCAGGATATAAAATCAACATAGAAAAATCATTAGCATTGCTATACACTAATAATGAACAAACTGAAAAAGAATATATGAAAACAATTCCATTTACAATAGCCACAAAATAAATCAAATACCTAAGTGTAAACCAAACCTAGGATGTGAACCACCTCTACAAGGAAAACTATAAACTTCTGAAGAAAGAGATTGAGGAAGACTATAGAAAGTGGAGCGATCTCCCATGCTCATGGATTGGTAGAATCTACATAGTAAAAATGTCTATACTCCCAAATGTAATCTACATGTTTAATGCAATTCCCATCAAAACTCCAATGACATTCATTAAAGACATTGAAAAATCTACTGTTAAATTTATATGGAAACACGAGAGGCCACAAATAGCCAAGGCAATACTCAGTCAAAAAAACAATGCTGGAGGTATCACAATACCTGACTTCAAACTATATTACAAAGCAGTAACAATAAAAACAGCATGGTAATGGCACAAAAACAGACATGAAGACCAGTGGAACACAATAGAGGACCCAGATATGAAGCCACACAACTATAACCATCTTGTCTTTGACAAAGACGCTGAAAATATACAATGGAGAAAAGACAGCTTCTTCAACAAAAACTGCTGGGAAAAATGGTTAGCAGTCTGCAAAAAACTGAAACTAGATCCATGTATATCACCCTATACCAATATTAACTAAAATGGATCAAGGATTTTAATATCAGACCCCAAACTCTAAGTTGATACAGGAAAGAGTAGGAAATACTCTGGAGTTAGTAGGTATAGGTAAGAACTTTCTCAATGAAACCCCAGCAGCACAGCAACTAAGAGATAACATAGATAAATGGGACTTCATAAAGCTAAAAAGCTTCTGCTCAACAAAAGAAATGGTCTCTAAACTGAAGAGACCACCCACAGAGTGGGAGAAAATATTTGCCAGCTACACATCAGACAAAGGACTGATAACCAGAATATATAGGGAACTTAAAAAACTAAATCCTCCCAAAATTAATGAACCAATAAAGAAATAGGCAGGTGAACTAAACAGAACTTTCTCAAAAGAAGAAATTCAAATGGCCAAAAAACACATGAAAAAATGCTCACCATCTCTAGCAATAAAGGAAATGCAAATTAAAACCACACTAAGATTCCACCTCACCCATTAGAATAGCCATCCTTAGCAACAACACTAACAACAGGTGTTGGCGAGGATGCAGGGGAAAAAGCAACCCTCTTACACTGCTGTTGGGAATGTAAACTAGTACAACCACTATGGAAAAAAATTTGGAGGCTACTTAAAAAGCTAAACATTGATCTACCATATGATCCAGCAATACCACTCTTGGGGATATAACCAAAAGACTGTGACACAGGTTACTCCAGAGGCACCTGCACACCCATGTTTATTGCAGCACTATTCACAATAGCCAAGTTATGGAAACAGCCAAGATGCCCCACTATTTCAAATGCATTAAGAAAATGTGGTATTTATACACAATGGAATTTTATGTAGCCATGAAGAAGAACGAAATGTTATCATTTGCTGGTAAATGGATGGAATTGGAGAACATCATTCTGAATGAGGTAAGCCTGGCTCAAAAGACCAAAAATCGTATGTTCTCCCTCATATGCGGACATTAGATCAAGGACAAACACAACAAGGTGATTGGACTTTGATCACATGATAAAGCGAGAGCACACAAGGAAGGGGTGAGGATAGGTAAGACACCTAAAAAACTAGATAGCATTTGTTGCCCTCAATGCAGAGAAACTAAAGCAGATACTTTAAAGCAACTGAGGCCAATAGGAGAAGGGGACCAGGAACTAGAGAATAGGTTAGCTCAAGAAGAATTAACCTAGAAGGTAACACACATGCACAAGAAATCAATGTGAGTCAACTCCCTTTATAGCTATCCTTATCTCAACTAGCAAAAACCCTTGTTCTTTCCTATTATTGCTTATACTCTCTCCTCAACAAAATTAGAGATAAGGGCAAAATATTTTCTGCCTAGTATCGAGTGGGTTCGGGGGGAGAGGGAGGGGGCGGGGGGGTAAGGGATGGGGTGGGTGAAGGGGGGGATAAATGACCCTAACATTGTATGCACATATGAATAAAAATAATAATAATAATGAAGGACAGCATTTGATGTTCTCACTAGGTTAATGCTTTATTTCAATAAATGTTTAATTTGGTGGGAACTGTAAAGGGATAGAGGTTCCTTTGTTTTACTGAAGACCTCATTTAATCAAAAACTCATAATTCACGTCAAGTTTCCCATGAGGAAAAAATCCAAAGCGAGTGTGGAGAGGCGGCCAGGTGTGTTACCAGAAATCACAACTCTTCAGACGTCGGAGGGTGGTGTTATTTTAATTCTGTTTTATTTTCTCAGCAATAACTAATGATTCTCAGAAACCTCACATAAATTAACAGCAGAGTACAACACACAACACAGTGATTAACTGGGCTTCTTCATAGCACTTTATTACCACTAACTTCTGTTCCCAGGAGACTGATTCAGGATCCATCTTTCAGCCTAGCCTAGCTTCACTGCTGATCATTCTGTTACAGAATTAAAAACACTATAGACATTATAACAGCAGTGAACCTCAGTCACCTAAGTTCTGATGCCAGATAACCACCACCCTGCATCACTCCATTCAGGCCCTTCTGCTTCCCAGGGACAGCAGAGCTGCCAAGTGAGGATAGCACACTTTCGATGCATTTCACCTATCAGCTTTAGGAGATTTTATTAATTCTTTTTTTAATTTAGGCAGAGGCATAGAGATATTATGTTTAAAATAGTCTTATCACACACAAAAAAATGTGTATCATAGTACCTCACCATTTTCTTGCTTTGTTAATTTACAAATAAAAGACCTAAATAAAGTAATGAAACTATTTTTTTAACCTTTCACAACAAGGAATCAACAGGATTAATGTAAATTTGAAGCATTAGAAAAAAGATCAAAAATGTCCCACTTAGAAATATGAACAGAACCCTAAGAAACTAAAAAACAAGAAGTTAAAAATGACTGCCTGTCATGAAAAGCAATACCAATGCATACTATGACACAGTGACCCTTAAGACATTATGCTAAGTGAAAGAAGTCAGACACAAAAGGCCATAGATTATGATTCCACTTATGTGAAATGTCCAGGGGAGACAGAAAGTAGATTAGTGGTTGCAAGGCTGAGAATAAAGGGAAAGGGAATTGACCAGGATTTCTTTTGAGGTGATAAAAATGTTCTGGAATCAGATACTGGTGAAGGATGCACAATATTGTGAATATTAAAAACCAATGAAGTGTACAACTTAAAAGGATAAATCCTGTAATATGTGGGTATTTCAATAAAGTGGTTATTAAAAATATTTTAAGTGGCTGCCTCTGGTGAGGAGGCTAGACAGGAGGGGAGGAAGATGACCTCTCCCACACTATCTCTATTGTCCTAGTTCTCCCAGAAGCAACCCTTTTGCTCTCAGTCCCTGAGTCCCTGCTTGGACTCCCTTACATGTGTCTGATCTTACTCTGCTCCCCAGCTCCCAGGCCCCATCAGACATCTAAAATGCCAGCCTGCCTCCACAGTCCCTCCTCTCCACACCCATCAGAGGCATCCTTCCAGCCACATTCTGGACCACAATGCCTCCTGCTGTCAGCATTTCTGAAGCACTACCACAATGGAATCTTAGCTCTGCCACAGGCATGCAAGGCCCAGCAGGGCTTCTCCTGGCCTTTCAAGCCTAAAATCTAACTGGGGTCAGTCTTTACCTGGACACTGGTCACACAGTATAGCCCTTGTTTCCCAAAGCACACCTATGGAGCAGGTAGTCAGACCCCTACCCACCAGGCTTGTGCCCATATGGCTGATGCTTGCCTTTCACTTCTTGGCTTAAGTCTTCCAGATAGCCGTCCCCTCCACAGCAACTCTGAGCCCCCAATAACCTCTACACAAATGCCACCTCATCTCTCAGAGCAGCAGTTGGACTGAACTGCTACAGAACTTGGGGCCTCTCTTGGTGTCTCAGACTTCAAGTACACGGAGCATGTGTATCCCAAGCTCAGCTATGAGGTGTCATTAGCTGAGTGAACAACCCTGGAAAGGGATCTGGGAAGTTCTTAAGGAGGAGGCTCACACCTGTCCTGTTCTTCTTACAGCAATCATGGAACTCACTACACATCATCAGCCTGAATCAGATACTGAGTAAGTAAGTAAAGGTAGAAGGAAGAAAATAGGGGGGCAGAGGGGCTGCAAGCTATGATGGTTGTTATTCATCCCCCAAAACAACCCAGGCCACAGCTGTGGCTCAGCACTGTTGGACAGGCTGGTTGACAAGGCTCAACATCATGGAAAACTGACTAAATTCTCCCTACCTGCCATCAGGAAGTATTAACTTCTGGCTGACTTGTTCTCTGCCTAAATGCTTCATGTCGTAAATTAAGTAACCACACAGTCTGGGATGGCCAGGCAGAACCTAGACATCCACTTTGGAAACACAGTGGCCCTTCAGGAAAAAGCAAAAGTCCCATCTCACCTGGACCTGGGCTGTTGGGAGCCCAGCTACCCTCCTTCCTTCCTCAGGGCTCACCTCCACATGCCACGTGGAATCCTGAGGACACAAAGCTGGGGAAGGGAAAAGAAGTCACAGAGGCAGTTCTTCCTCCGTGGGCCAGAAGCCCACCCATCCAGAGACCAGGGTCCAGCCCCTACCCCTGCTCCTTCCCTCATGGGTAAGAGAAGAGACCCACTTCCTCATTCTGCAGATGAAGGAAATGGGGCTCAGAGCAGCTAAAGAACATACCTAACACATGAATCCCTCACTGACCTCCTATGCTATGAGGCACCATCTCTGAGAGGCAGTGTCTGTTCACAGCCTTTTGAGCCTGAGTCCTAAATGGTTACACACTAGTTTTCATGCACTCTGTCCTACAGATGTCACACTCCACCCCCAGAAGAGTTTTCTGATCCCTCTTTCCAACTTTGCACAGAGAAAGAATTTGCCCACAAGCCCCCTGCTTTAAAGAACTACCTGGTTCTTTAAACCAGCTGTGATCCCCAGCTGTGGCAGATCACTGCAAGGAAAGGGCAGGACATGATGGCCAAAATGGCTGAGGAACAGGCTCATAACTCACCCCAGGAGGCCCAAGGGTCAGCAGCTGCCACCCCCCAGCACTGGTCCATAAGGGAACCTGCATAGAAAAATCAAGTTATAACTATAACCCAAACCCAGTAATTAAAGGTAACAAAATGGAAAAGGAGTTATCTCACTAAGGGGCATAAAAAATCCCATAACGGGCATAATAGAGACTAAGGGCACATGAAAAACCCAACATAAAATGGATTTATAAAGGAAATATTAGGAAATTTATTAACATGGTATAGCCATAAGGCAACTAAAAACAGAACTCTTTAAATTGCTGAAGAAGTATCTGATAAAATATAACATTATCTAGTTTTTCTTAAATGTAAGTAGTAGGATACTCCTATGATGTCTTTGGTGATTGAAACCTCACTTAAAGATAAAATATACTAGTGACATCATTATTATTTAACATTCTTTTAAAATTACAGATCAATGCTATATTAGTGAAATACAATAGTGAAAAATGTGGGAGTAGTAAAGACAACACTTTGATTATATGTATTGCATGACTGCTTCTAAAAAACCCTGCAAATTACCAGAATCTCTCTTACCAGCCGCTATTCAGCTGACTATAAAACAGACAAATTACATTGTCTTTATGTCAATAATTTTCCCCCTTAACCACCAACCAGTTCTAACTATAATTCCCAATCAACAACCAGATCTAACTATAATTTCCAATCAGTTCTATTTCTATGCCAAGATTGACAGACCCTCTTTCATCCCTCAAAGCCCTCAGCCCCTCCTCAGCCTTGAATTATGACTACATCAAGTCCTAGCTAGGAGAAGTTCAGAAAAAAACAAGATTTGGACTCACCCCAGGGGGGCCATGGGTTGATGGCCGCCATTCCTGAGGTTTGGACAACCTGGCACCTGGTCAGGAGCACTGCACTACTAACCTAGAAACAAATGGAAAAAGACAAAAACTGGTCCTTTCTCACAGATCAGAGGGAACTAAGAACAGAACCCGTCCACAGAAGCAACAAGACTCTTAGGAAGCATGAAAATAAAATATAATTTACATGTCAAAACATGACAGAACTCCTGGAAGAAATGAAAGGTAATACGAATAACTTGGGGGCTGGGAACCGGAGAAGAGCCCAATTCCAGACAAGGGTGAAAATTTGTCAGTTACTCATTCCCAAGGGAAAGCCACTGGACTTAGAACTTTTCAGTTGATTTGACAACTGAAATCTACCTGTAATGTACATACAGTGCTATCTAGAACAGGAGGAAGGGGAAATGGGGGAAGACTTGTTGAATGGGTGAAAAGGTTTCTTTCAGGGTGATGAAAGTGTTCTGAAACTAGAGGTGCACACTTGTTGAAACAAAACCACTAAATTGCACACTTCAAAACAATTAAAATATGAGTATTAAGTTATGTACCAGATTTCTAGGTTTTTATATGCAAGACCTGCGCCCTCTATGATAGATGCTTGGGAGTGTGTGCAGGCCCACAGGGCCTCACAAGAAATGGAGAAAAAGTGCTCAGGAGTGGCGTGCAGGTATGTACTTGTGAGGCAGGCTAAAATCAGAGCAAGTTTAGTGCTCACAGAAACTTAATATTACATTTCAAATTGACCACATTCTGGCTCAGGGACCGCCCTCACCTGGCCAAGACCCACCCATGCCCTTCCCCAGTCATTGATTATTGGATGGAAATCACCTGGTTCCTCCCTTCCCATAGATTAGCATAAATTTTAGAAGTACCTGGGGAAGAGAAGCACACTCTCTCTCTTGGCCTGGAGATTCTCCCTGTGCCCACCATGCTCCCTCTTGTATTTCCCATCCCTAACTTTTAATAAACTTCGTCTACACCCATGTGTCCTGCCATCGATTCTTCAAAGAATCTTGAAGTCTTCTGATCACCGTCAATACTTGCACATGTAGGCATGAGTTGCAGAGACCACCAGCTCTGTCAGTTAGAGGAAAAGCGGCCCCATAAAACACACTGACCAATCGTGCCGTTATTTTGCACCACTGTTTGCAATGTGACAACCACCACCAGATTGCCCGCTCCCCTCCACTCCCCTCCGTCCCCTGACGTTTAAAGGAAGCCGGGGCCGTTCCCAGAGCACGTTTGACGCCCTTGACAGCACGGTTGTGTCAACCCGTACGCACGAGAAACGCCCGTTCTCTAGAACCTCGGGATAACACGGGGTTCCTTCTTCCCCATAACGGCCTCGGAGGCGTCCTCGTCACCTGCTTCCCGGAGGCCTCAGATTTCCACCGGCCGCCTGCAGGACCTCCTAACGGCGCGCGAACGGCCTTATCCAGTTTGGGGCCCCAGCGCCTGGCTGTTTTGTCCGGTACCGAGGTCCGTGCGGCAGTGCGCGGGGGACAAAGCGCGCGGGGCGAGCCGTGCAGGACTCACCGGGGACCGCCGACCCTGCACTGCCCAGAACCGGGAGCGGAAGGGTCGAGGGCAATGGGGTTGCGATGCCGACGCGGAAAGGACAAGCGCAGAACCGGCCTAGCGCCGCACCAGCTCCAAAAGCAGGAGACCCCCAACTCTCCGAGCCGTCTCTCACTACCTGCCCGACTCTCCCGCGCAGGGGCGGCAGCTGCCCCTTGGCCCAGGAAAAGGGCCTCACCTCGGCCACGGACAATGGCGGCCGCTCCCCCGGTGTCGACTAGGACGCGCCGCTGGGACTGCTGGGAGCTGTAGTTCCGAGGGGGTGACCTTCCGGTTTCTACCGGAAGCGCCTCCACGGCTGACTCCCGAGTTATGTTGTCCCACGTCCAGCCTTCGCGGTGCTACAACCGGGTCTGGGTTTCTAATATACCACCCAGGCGAGGTGGGCGACGCTACCGGACCTCAGACCTCCCTCCCGCGCCGACGCTGCCCACCTGGGTTGGTGGTGAACCTGGAGCGTCAGTTTGCCGGTCTGCAAAATGGAGGCTCATGGATAGTGGTCTTCCCAGTAGGAGCTTAATAAAGCTGAGCGCTCTTGAGGGATCACTTCATTGAGCATTCACAAAATGATGAAAAAGTGGTTGTTATACCCTTTTTTATTTTCGGATAAGAACCTAAATTCTGAGCTTCCCCTTGCCTGTGAAGTTACACTATTGAGAGTATCAGGGATTGTCCCCCCCCCCTTCTGTTTCTAGATGACAAAACTTCGTTGGAGCCTAAGTTTTCAGCCTACTCTGTGATATTAACCAGGAACTAAAAACAAACACTATATTAATAGGTAACTTGGAGTCTCTCACTCCCCATTAGGATACAGCAGCTGGCCATGCTCTTAACCTTGCACCAATGATTTGCCTGGATAAATACAGGCTGGATTTTTCTCAAGAAAAGCATCTGCAAAACTCGTCCTTAAGGCTGGAGACGTGGCTCAAGTGGTAGAGCAGCTACCTAGCAGGTGCGGGGTCATGAGTTCAAAACCCAGTACCAGACACAAAAAAAGATAACGCCTTTTTGGACTAAAAGGTGACTTGTTAAAGGAAAATAAATCTCTCTAAATGATGGGCTTCTCTGCCCTAAATAAACATCTTCTAAAAGAAAGCACCTGGCAGGTTTTAAAGATATCATCTGTGTTAATTAAGGAGACTTGGTCTCTGGGAATCTCAAATTTATCTTTTCCAAGAAGGTAAGATACCATTAGTGGAGCACTTCCATGGCAAATGATTAACATGCCAGATCGTGGAAACAAAGAAGCAAGCACAGAGCTAAGGGACATACAGACCCCTACACTGACTTGAACTTTATAAGTATGCCTTACACAAAGGAACCTAACATGTTTCTCATGTGCCCCCATCTCAAGCCTATTGGAATATGCTTGGTTTCCCTGCTTTTCTGCTCTTCTAAATAAAACTCCTATTAACTTCTTACCTAACCAGATTTGTCCTTAAATTCTTTTCTCTTATGATGTTATAAATTCAGGCAGGCAGGCAGGATGGCTCATATTTGTAATCCTTGCTAATTGGGAGGAGAGCATTTGGAAGCAAAAAGTCACAAGACCCCCATCTCAACCAATAAAAGTTAGGCATGGTGGCACTCACTGGTTATCCCAGCTATGCAGGAAGCACAATTAGGAGGACTGGGGAGTGTAAATAGGGGGATCAAGGTCCAGGCCAACCTGGGCATAAGTGAGAGACCCTATTTAAATAATAACTAAAGCAAAAAAGGCTGGGGTCATGGCTCAAGTGGTAGAGCACCTGCCTAAGAAACACAAACCTCAGTACTGTCACAAATAGGGTACCCCCTGTCATAAATTTGGCACTCTGGGTTAAGGTTATGCTCTAAAGGGACCTCCCTGGGTTTGAACCAGTCCTGGTTCCAGTGACAAAATAACTACCACCCCTTTCCTCTAGAGGCAATCACTGTCCTCAATGTGATGTGAGATGTTCCCATGTGTTTCCTGAAACTTTTTTTTGAGACAAGGTCCTTCCCGGGCCAGCCTGGGACTCTCCATCTTCCTGTCTTGCTTGAGGACTGACAGTTACAGGCATGAACCACCACACTGAGCTTTATTTCCTGAAATTTACCATATGGGTAAGTCAGCATGCTTTACTTTTGTATAAATGCTATGGATACTTTGGACTTGATATCTACAATTTGCATTTTTGTTCCATGTTATCATTGTGAGAATTATTCTTGATGTATGAAGCTCTGCTTCATTTTTCTCCACTGATATATAGTTTCCCATTGAATGGAGAGAGGACAATTTGTTTATCCTGTCTACTTTTTGAGGCTACTTAGGTTTATTGAGTAAATATCCACTTGAACACCTACTAACTACACAAAGTGTTGTAGGCTCTGGGAATAAAGTTGCAAATCCATGGAGCTTACATTCTGCAGGGAGGAACACAACTAGAAAAATAAGTAGAATACACATCCTTTCCTGGCCTCTTGTTTCCAAATAACCACCAATCTCTTTGAATTTCCTATACTTACATATAAATGGAATTATACACTGCGTGTGCTTTTTTGATTTGACTTGTTTTTCTTTTGTTTTGAGACAGGACCTTGCTCTGGAGCCCAAGCTAGCCTCAAACTCACAATCCTCCTGCCTCAGCCTTCCAAGTACTGGGATTACAGACATGCACCAGCACATCTGCTTGGTTTGGCCTTTTCTTTTTTCTTTTTTTGGCAATACCTGAGTTTGAACTCAGGGCCTCATACTTGCTAGGCAGGCACTGTACCATATGAGCCATTCCCCCAAACTGCTTTTTTTTTCTTTTTTGCAGTACTGAAATTTGAACACTGGACTTTGCACTTGTCAGGCAAATACTCTACCACTTGAGCCATGACTCTAGCTCTTTTTGCTCTGGTTATTTTAGAGATAGGGTCTCACATTTTGCCCAAACCAGTAATCCTCCTATTTTATCCTTCCTACCATCACTGGGATAACAGGTGATCATTACCATGTCCAATTTTTTTTCATTGAGATGGGGTCTCACAAACTTATTTGTCTAGGCTGGCCTAGAACAACAATCCTCTCAATCTCAGCCCTCTGTGCAGATTGGAATAATATGGAATGTACCACCACATCCAGCTATTAATTGAGATGGGGATCCTGATAACATATTTTGCCCAGACTGGCCTCGAAACATGACCCTGCTGATCTCAGCCTCCCAAGTAGTTATGAGCCACTGGTGCCTGGCTTTTGCATTTAGATCTCTTAATTTTTGTAATATTGAAATTTAGATAGATGAAAGAGAGATAGATCATAGATAATCCAATTGTTCTACTACTACTTGTTGAAAAAGCTAGTCTTTCCGCCACTCCATTACTTTGTGTGCCTTTGTCAAAATTAGTTGTTCATACCTGCATGCTTCCTTTTGGACTGTATATCCTGTTCCATTGATGTATTTGTCTCTTTATGCCAATACCATTATGTTTTGACTACTGTAGTTTTATAATTTTCAAAAACAGGTAGTGGTTAACTCTCCAGTTTTGTTCTTTTCAGAATAGGTTATTCTGCATTCTTTGCATTTTCATATAATTCCATTTGTATAAAAAGTCCTGCTTGAATTTTGACTGGAATTTCATTGACTCCATTGATCAATGTAAGGATAATTGACATACTAAAATATTGAATCTCTGATACATGAACAAGTTATATTTCTCAACTTACTTTAAAATCTTCATTTCTCTCAGCAGTATTTTTTTTCAATGTACAGATACTTCACATCTTTTGTCAGATTTATCTCTATTTTTTGATGTTGTGGTAAATGGTATTTTTTTAAATTTCATTTTCCAATTGTTGCTTGTATATCAAAATTAAAATGACTTTTATAATTCATATTGTATCCTGTACTCTCATAAATTAATCTATTAGTTCTAGAAGCATTTTTGATAAATTGTGTAAGATTTTCTAAATTGAAGATTATATCCCAGCACACAGGAAGCTAAGGCAGGATAATCATGAGTTTATGGCCAGCTTAAGCTACATAGTGAGACCCTGTCTCAAACAAAGGGGTGGCTGATGGTAGAGTGCCTGCCTAGCAAGCATGAGGCTCTGAATTCAAACCCCAGTACCGCCAATAAAAGAAAAAGGGATTGTAACCTGTGAGTAGTGAGTGGCAATGGTTTCTACCTCTTCCTTTCCAATTGGAATTTCTTTTATTTGATTGTCCCTAATGTCTTGGCTAGAAACTCCATTACAATGCAAAATACAAGTACTAGATCAAACATCCTTGCCTTGTTCTAATCTTAAGGGTAAGTATTTTGTGACCTGAAAATTATTTAGAGATAAACTTATCATATGGAGGACATTCTCTTCTATTCTGAAACTAATAAGAACATTCTTTCTCTCAAGAACAGTTAGTATGATGTTAAATTTTTCATGATTGCATTAACATAATCAGAGTTTTGCTTTTTAGGTTGTTAATATAGTGAGTGATATTGACTGATTTTTGTTAAAGCAACCTTGTATTTTTGAAACAAAGTCTACCTAGTCATGATGTATAATCTTTTTATTGTATCATTGGATTCAGTTTGTTAAAATTTTGGTTTCAAAGGTGTTTGCAACACACAAATTGGCAAAGGACTTGTATACAGGTCCACAACTCCTATGATGCAATATTAAAAGACAAAAACATGGGAAAGCTTGAATAGAAAAGTCACAAAGGCAGTCAACAAAAAGGGTGCACCCAATTAACCATCCATGGGTACTTGATGATAGGTTCTTCTTCTGGCTTTTTTTCCTTCTTTTTTTTGTTACAGTGCTGGGGGTTGAACCAAGGTTTCAGCATGCTAAGCAAACACTCTACCACTGAGCTACATCCCCAGCCCAAAGTCCTTTTTCCAAATCTCTACCAATCTTTATCTGCCAATTTACCATTTCTGCATCTGTAAAATGAAGATAATACTTGCCTCAGCAAAATCCTTATAGTAAATGAAGTTATGTAAATAGAGCTTCAAATATGACCTACCCCATAACATCTGCTTAAACATATATTATCATTTTATTTGCACCTCTTTATTAATGACTTACTGCATTTTTTGTATATTTCTCATTGTATTCCTTTTATGAACTGCCTTCTCACACATAAGGATTAGTGAGAAACTTTTTTAGGACTTCCTAAATGGAATGGAATTAGATTAGCAAAGCTTTTCTGTAAAGTAACTGATTTTGGCTTTTTGGATCATGCAGT